AAATTAGTAATATTCCACAGTTTCGTTGGGAAAGGTTGTAAAATGCGGATAATATAGCCTTGCGAAATTTACAATTTTCAGTCATTTTAGATTTATACAAACGGAAAATTGACAGCCCCAAAGGGTATTGGGCTGTCAATTTCCCCCGCGTAATGCAAAATGACTGAAAAACGCGGCAAACGTCGCGAGGCTATATTATCCGCATTTTACAACATTTCGCAACGAAACTTTGGAATATTACTAATTTTGTGATGCTCTTTCAAGCTGCGATGAAACTTTTATCTAGATCAAAATTGAGTCTATTTCGCAAGTTGTCTATTTATATCCCATGGAAGATCGATGGCTATGTAAGCATCCAAGTTCTCGAGATTATACAATTACTTTATGGTTTCCGTGTTTAGATGGCCTGATCCAAACACGCGAGAATGTTGCGAGAGTTAAGAAAAGCGGGCAGGGGCGAAACTAGGCCCTTTTAATCAGAGGAGTGTCTGCCAGAATTGCCCTGCCAAAACCGATGATGCCCTGCAGCAAATTTTTATTTCTGGCCACTATTTTTCCCAAAAATGTTGCCAAGCGGGGGGAAGGGGGAGGGGTGAAAATTTTTTTCTGGACATTAAAAAAGGTTGAAACATTTTTCCGGACATAAACCAGTTAGAATAAGGACAAAAAATTTTTTCGTACCAACTCCTGTTAAAACATGTGTAAACCTTCATTTTTGGACCAATATATGCAAATTTTGGACTATTATAAATTCTATTCAATTCCCTCTGAAAGCCATGTAAGTTACTTAATACCTCTACATTCTGTCATTTTGAATCTTTGATGATTCGTGTTTTTTGGGTTGTTTTTTTTTTATGGGGGGGGGATCACCCCTCTCCCCATACCACCTCAAGTTCCGCCCCTGAAAGCACGTGAAACACGAGCCGAAGGCGAGTGATTTTGCGCGGTTTTCGTAACTCGAACAACACTCCCAAATGTTTGGATCAGGCCTTCCAAACACGGAAACCATAAAGCAATTGTTTTATAAGATAATAACTATCAAGTACCGCGTCTTTTACGGCAGTTTTCTTCAAATGTGTTGTCATTTCATTTGTTTGTCACTATCTTGTTGCTGATATCGTGAGTTTTGTTAATTGATTTGTTAAATATCATCGTTTCGAAGAGTTTGTGTCATCTTCTCTCGTGAGTTTCTTCCCATTATTCTCTCGCATATAAATACGTACGGGATGAGAAACCCACGACTCATTGCTTGTCAAAATCACAGTTTCGACCTTTGTGTGTATAAATACGCAGTATGTAACAAAAAGAAAAACAGTTAATTTATCGGGAATGTGTCTTGCGAAACAAGTGACAATGTTTATCAACAATTACTATGTTTATCCCGTATGTAATGTTAGAGCTTTTGATTGAAATAAAAATTCTCGAATTTTACTGAATGTGATTTTCCGACTGTTTTGCACCGGATTCCCAGAGCATGCGGTAAAACGAAAGTCAATAGCAATTCCATTACTGACATAATCCTAGAAACAAGTATCCATAAAATCCCAAGAGAGTGTAGAAGTATCGCGCTGTTGCGGCTTTTCTCAAAATGTCGGTTGACATTTCATGTGTTAATCATCTCTTTGCCCTCATCGCCGTCATTTTTCTTGTGTTTATCATTTCGAAGTGCTTGTTTCATCTTGTTGTTAGAATTTTTTACCATTATTCTTTCACGTTGTAAATATGGCATGAGAAACCCACAACTCATTGCGAATCATATTTTCCAACTTTGTGCATAATTAAGCAGTAGCTACATAAATAAATTGACCACTATAATGTGTTTTGACAAGAGCGTTACTTCATTTCTTAACAATTATTAAGTTTATCTTAGAATGTTAGGGTTTGTAACCCAAGTGAGAATATATACATTTTAAGACCTAACTATAGGAATGACTGCGAAAAATGCAGCACAAGGTCCTCTGGTAGGAATTAAACCTACGGCCGTACGATTCCGGTGCAGCACTCTAACCAACTGAGCTACAGTGGCCAGCTGTTGACTTATAACCGCAAGTTCATGTATATATAGGTAACCGGGTGTGCGGGTTGTGATAAGGTGGACTGCAATGATGGATTCTTGCACTTCACTTGGTGGAATTAGTATTAGAATGTTAGGGTTTGTAACCCAAGTGAGAATATATACATTTTAAGACCTAACCAGGAACGACTCCGAAAAATGCAGCTGTTGAGCTGTAACCGTATGTTCATGTATATATGCATGGGTAATCGTGTGTGCGGGTTGTGATAAGGTGGACTTCAATGATGGACTCTTGCACTTCACTTGGTGGAATTAATATTAGAAGATTAGGCTTTGTAACCCAAGTGAGAATATATACATTTTAAGAATATATACATACAGCTCAACAGCTGGCCTCTGTAGCTTAGTTGGTTAGAGCGCTGCACCGGAATCGCAGGGCCATAGGTTCAATTCCTACCAGAGGACCTTGTGCTGCATTTTTCGCAGTCGTTCCTGGTTAGGTCTTAAAATGTATATATTCTCACTTGGGTTACAAACCCTAACATTCTAATATTAATTCCACCAAGTGAAGTGCAAGAATCCGTTATTTAAGTTTATCCCATATGTTACTAATCTTAGAGCTATTAATTGAAATAAAAATTTACGAATTTTATCAAATTTGATTTTTCAAACGTTTTGCGCCGAATTTCCGAAGCATATGTGTAGTGAAGTGAGAGTCAAGAGTAATTGCATTAGAGACATAATTCCCAAACACAAGTATCCAGATAGGTTTTCTGTTGTGTCTTGCAGGTCTTCTATATACAGCTATTTCAATTAAGGTTGTCCCGCAAGCAAAGCGGAAAAGTCGAATACGTGCGCGAAAGGCTGCTGGGAATCGCTAATAAATTTATTGATTTATTGCGCTTTGAATTCATTTATTCCAATTATTATTCCGCTTCGCTCGGGGAACAACCTTAATTGAAATAGCTGTATGCAGATAACAAATATGACTCATATATATTTCATAATTTCTGAATTGTTGCAATGCATTTTGCTTTCTCAATTATTTCCGCAACATTTCGCTGCTTTTAATTAATTCCTAAAAAATAATAATTATATCGTATGCGATTTTCTCGGCAAAAAGTTTCTACCACACATTATTACCCTTTCAAAACACTACGGTATTCATGACGTATTTAATTTATGAAATAAGGTATACTTCATCTAATTATGAACATAAGTAGGTCATAAGTGTGTGTATGTGGGGGGTGGGGAGGGGGGTTGAATAATAGGTTTTCGGATCGTCGGATTTCACAGAACAAATTGTTCGGATTTCGGATATGGCGAATATTTACGTCCAACATTGTTTTGGGGGGTGAAGGGGGGCAAGCGAGTAAATTATTCCGATCAAACTTGTAAAAGAAAGCCACAAAGGAATGTTTTAATAGAGTGTCGCAGATAGTTTCGTCCAGGATTGTAGATTATCACATGTGGTATAGTAAATCATAATTATATGCCATTGCATATAGTAGAATTAAGATGTCTTATTTTATTAAATCTGACGAAACGGTTATCGATCAATTCCGCGTCCGAAAGTCAAAACCCCAGCCTAGTCCCAGGCTCTTTCTCTATTCGCCGCTTTGGTATATTTAAATAAGTCTTAAAAGTTTTATGCCTGGGTGTCCTGCGCGGAACGCTTCAGCGAGAGAACCTAGCAGATTTCGGTAAAATGGTCCCTGATTTCAAAAAAGTGGTCCCTGGCCTGGTTACCAAGCATACCGCGTTTGTAAAGAGAAAATGTTATGGAAATTTCTTTTATTAAAAGTCATTATTTTTGCTCTAATGTTGTCGGAACAATGAAATAGGCTACGTTTCGCTACCATACGGTCAGAATGGAATAACGGGGTTAAATATGACTCGTGTTTGCTAAAATATAAGCCATATTAAATGCTATCTAGAAACTTGAAAATTATGCCGAGTGTCCGACTAAAAATGTTTTGACAACACAGTCATGTCAGGCAAATATTTCCAATCTCCTCAGCTACTTATATCAACCCTGTCAAGTAGAAAGCGTAGTTTTGTATACCAGTATGGGCCAGTGTTGATCACAACTTGCGAGTATATAAATAACATCAACGAATATACGACCATTGCTCAGACTCGGTATCGTAAATTTGTATATAATTTTTTTTAGTTGAGCACATTTTTAATACAGTATGAATTTGGTTTTCTAGACATCGAACATGATCAACGAACATTGTCGTATTTACAAGGTTATTTGTAAAATTATATAAATTTTCCGCCATATTAAAAATACTGAAATCTGCTAGGCGTTCTGAAGCACCTTTAGCGGTGATGTCACACCTAGGTCCTAGTCTCGCACTACATGCACGTTTTTTTCTCGCGCTTGCTTCAGAACTACTGGGACAAGGTTGTCAAAACCCCTAAATTTCAATTTTCAAGCGCGTTACACACGATTACCATCCATGCAGTAATTAGCATACACCAACTGACTTGAATTAGAATACTTTCGCAATAAACAAAAGTTCGTGGCTTCCTGCATGCAAACAAAACAAACTAAACCTCTTTATCTGAAAAATGTTGGCTCAATATACTCAATACATGCATCCAATATTGCATGTTTCACTGAACGTTTATTGGCGCATGAGTATAATTTTTCCACAGCAATGTCAGTACATTATGCTGTTGATTATGACACGCGCTGACTATTAGCACAGACTATTGTAGCAATAGAACTCTTCTTTTTTACGAGACTATAATCCTACATCTTTAATCTTTAATTGAAATTCTATACACGCGGTAGCCTATTCAGTGGATAAGTATTTACAGTACATTATTGTCTTCAAAGGTCCATTGTGTTCAAGGGATCATGTAGGCCTAGCTGTTGTTCAAGCTAAATCTGAAACCTGTAGAATATTTACAATGAAAGGCAATCGACAATGAACCCCAGACATAAGGATATCAGACATAAGGAGCTTGACAACTGACCTCTGTAGCTCAGTTGGTTAGAGCGCTGTACCAGAATCGCAGCTTCGATACTTGCCGGGGACCTAAAGTTGCATTTTAGCAGCTGTTTCTGTTTAGGTCTAATAAATGTATATAAATTTCCACTCAATGATTTTTATCTACAATAACCTTCAACTATTACTGAAACGAGTGGGATGCCAACAAAATATTGGTATTATACAGTGTGTATCAAAATAATTCGAATCCAAAATAATTCGACTGCTGTTTATAAAATACTAAAGTAAACCATATAATTTTTATTTGGCAATAAAGAATAGCCTATTAGGTTTCCGATTATATCGTTCTTATATCAATAAGATCAAAAATGACCAAGAAATTGTGTGTTAAAACTGGTTGCTCGAAATCAAATTTTTCCACCGATGGGAATTCGAAGTGAGACGTACAAACAAAAGATAATGCAAATTTAATTAATCACAAACTGTTATGTAGCAGAATTTACATAAATTCGTGTTCATTTAAAGAGATTTAAGCTCCTATGCCTTCAACATGTTGAACGAGGAGAAATTCGCGTTAAATTTGCATATAAGTTTTCAGTGATGATTAGCATTTCAAAGCCTTGTGGGACTAACTTTGAAAGAAAAAATGTCCAATTCCCATCGGCGGAAAATTGTGATTTTTATGGACTTTTTTGTCAAAGCAATACTCCTTCATTTTCCAACTAAATGACGCGTACAGGATGTCATTTGAAAGGTAAATAAATTAACTTAACAATGGTGTAAAAACCAACCGAATTTGTCAATTATATTCTGCGTTATTACACGCCAAATTTGGATTCGAATTATTTTGATACACACTGTATAATATAATCTTGGCAGAATATGGTGCATGTAGAAAATTCTGTACAAATCAAGACCAATGAATCTACAATATATAGACCTATTATATATATGTATGTATGTATACGAGAAGCTCCTTTTGACGAAATTTGTCTTTGGTTTGGGGAGCGCCAATATAGATTGATTACTTCTTAAATTGCTATTTTGTGTACACAATTCTACAGGATAGTGAGGTAATCGACCTGTTAATGCTTTGAATGCCATTAATACCTCTTGTTTCTTTTTCAAAGTTCCTCAGTTGGAAGCTAATTATAAGGTTATTTAGTATTTCTGTGGAACGAACATCGTATACAATCATGTCCCTAGTTATCACATGCGCAGCTTTCTTTTGTAATTTAAATAATTTATTAATTATCGAGCATGAGATACGTCGTTCCAGATTGTTGAAGAATGATTGAAGAGTGGCCATACCAAGGCATTGCACATTTCTCGTAAAAAATAATTACATGGGATTCATTATATGAATATAAAAGCGATCACAAACACATAGACTATACTAATACAAATATGCAAAAAACTACAAGGAATAAACAAAGAATAAAAGTCAATGTATATTGTCTGCATGATTTTTAAAGGCAAAATATAAAGTTAAACATATAGGGAAAACATTAATTTATGCCATATTGATGGACAGTGAAAAGTTTCGAAATGAGACACATTTCATTTATTTTGCGGCTATCGTTGCTTCTATATAGAAATGGGACTTGCACAAGGCTCGACTTTCTATTTCTGAAATTTTGTGATTGCCACTATTGAAATGTCTGGTAACAGGCTGGTTAGCATCATTGCCAATGACTGCACGCTGATGCTCACCAAGCCTTGTCCTCAATAGCCTGCGAACAGGCTCTCAAGCTGAATTGAGAGCCTGTATCGATGACTAATGAATTTGAATATCTGCCCCGTAACGTTCGTTTTTCCCAATATGGAATGTCTATCCTTATATGGTGTTGTTTATAACTTTCGTGCAAACTAAATTTAGACCATTCAAACTAAATTTAGACCGTACAGTTTATACTGTTTTTCGAAATATAAGATATTGAAGCAAAAATTTAAATGTTTTAAATACTTTTTTCTCAAAACAGAACATTTCGTGCTTTGAGATAAGATGGCCATGACCAATTTGATCAGTTAATGTGCTTTTTATGCATAGTGCTTAGCAGTTGACATATATAGAGCTCAGCGGAATAATATAAATTATAGCATCTGACCAATAAGAATTTCGCGTCACGATTTGAGACGCAGATATTCAAATTCATTAGTCATCGATGCAGGCTCTCAATTCAGCTTGAGAGCCGCCTGTTCGCAGGCTATGTCCTCAAAGATATTCCAGTTTCCCCAATATAAGGCATGCCACATGTATTGAGATCTGGTGCCGAATTGGTTGTAACAGAATATATAAACTTAATAATATGCATGAATATTGCTATGGCACAATGTTTGTTCTGGCCACTATGGCCCCTAGATACTTTCTAGGTAGACTTTAATATTATTCACTCGTTTTCGCGGTATTTTTCCGTAATCGCATCTCATTAATAGCGAGCCAGGGGGGTATTTTTACCGGTTTTTCTCTGGCTCGGTTCTCACGCCTGAGTGAGCATTCTTTTTTTACAAAAAGCGAATAAAAGCACCGTTTAAACTTATTCGTCTGTTATACTACTGTTGAAGGGGACAAGGCCTTTCCCGAAGGAACAGAATAGTAAAAAAAGAGTCACTTTTCTGGCGCGTATACATCGAGAAAGACGAACTGACTTCGAAGATATCTTTGTAGCGTGCTCGAAAATCGCTACAAAACGGCTTCAACTACAGAAGAAAACGATTGTTCTACAACGAACAGCTCAATGGCAGATAAAACCACCGTCGACAACCCCGAGGTAGGAACACTAGATACGTTTTTATCGCAAAATACGGCTGAAAATACGGTAGAAAACACGGGTCAAAGCGAAATAAACAGTACTAAACCTGATAAAGCAAGCGCAGAAACGGACGAAAATACTCTGTCTGTCTCGACAAACGACCCATCCTCTCGTCCCAAAAGATCAGTAAAACCCACCGAAAAGTCTATCGAAAACAGGGTTCAATCCGATCATTCAAAGCTTGACAAATTGTGGCGAAACACGTCAACCGCTGTGGGCAAATTGCAAGAAACACCCGATTCGCTAAATCAAATAAAATCCCATACGTCAGAAGTACGTTCGCTATTCCACGAGTACCACGCTGTTTCTTTGTCGCTCTTAGAGTTTCTCGCTAACCTCAGCGACCCCAAACACCAAAAAGAATACGAAACATTGCAGAAACTCGTAAATAATCGTAGCGAGTACATTCATACAGTAATAAACGAAGCAAACGAGCGGGAAAAGGAACTTTTGCTTGAAATTAACTCTGTCCACCATTCCCGAATTTCCCGTAGTTCCCGCAGCTCCACAACATCCTCCACCGCCGCTCGAGCTCTTGCAAGAGCTGAGGCTACAGCGGCACTAAAGAAAGTAGAAATGCAAAAATGGCGATCATTGCGAGAGTCCCAGTCTGCCATGGAAATACAACAACAAGAACTTGCCCTAGCCCAAAAGAAAATGGAAGAGAAATCCCGAATGGAAAGTTTACTATTAGAAGAAGAAGCAGCAGTCGCCGTTGCTAAAGCTCAGGCAATAGATAAAGAACTGAGCCTCGTAGATCATCAAGATCCTGAACACTTTGACCTACCCCAAGACGATCCTGCGGAAAGGGTCCAAAACTATATAAATTCGCAACGCTTCGAAGAATCTAACATTGGCCAAGACTCTAGTCCCCCGGTTCCAAATCATGTCATCGGTCCACAACTCCCACAGAATACCAACCATCCTATACGAGAAAAACCACTCAACCGAAGACTAGACCCGGCGGCCAACTCGTTTATCCCTCAACCACAGAACTCTCGGACAGACCCCAGTACAAATGCTATAAGCTCTTACATCCAATTCATGGCACGCAGAGAGCTTATCGCTAATAAGATTCAGAGATTTGACGATAATCCCAGAAATTTTTACGGTTGGAAAGAATCCTTCAAGAATATGATACGAGACATTCACCTCTCCCCTAGCGAAGAGCTATCACTCATCATAGAGTATACCAGCAACGAATCAAAGAAACTTGCTCAACGGCTTCGAAACGCATATATCAACAAACCCACAGAAGGCGTGGAGATACTATGGCAAAAACTTAGCCAGCGGTTTGGTTCTAACGCGGTTATAACTGAAGTACATTTGAACAAACTGAAAGATCTGCCGAAAATCGGATTTAGAGATAACAAGAAACTCCAAGAACTCGGAGATTTGCTCTTAGAATTACAGTGTGCAAGAACGACGGCGGATACAGAGGCCTCAGAATCCTCGACGAGCCCGCTTACATTAAACCTGTCATTGCGAAGCTCCCTGGCGATATCCAAAGCAGATGGCAAAAGCACGCCTTTCGATATAAGAAACAACACACCGAGGTGGACTACCCCCCATTTTCCGAGTTCGTCACCTTCATCCAGGAGTTGTCCCTCGAAAGAAACGATCCTAACCTGATCATAGAGATTCCCGAGAAGAAGAACACAGGTATGCGGAACCCGAGCTGGCGACAAGAAATTAGCGTAAACAAGACTGAGATCGAGGCCCAAGATCGCAGAGTCGGACACGATCCCCCACCTCGTAACCCTACGAACTGGTGCATTGTCCACCATAAAGGGCACCCATTAAGCAAATGTAGAGCCTTCCAAGCCATGCCACTCGATGAAAGAACCACAATACTAAGAAAGAACAGAGTATGCTTTCGCTGTATTGCATCGTGCGATCACCTCGCGAAGGACTGCAAGGCCAAGGTCATGTGCACCGAATGTGGAAGCAACAAACACCTCGCCGCACTACACGTTGACGGTGAGCAAAGGCACGGCGGGGAGCAGGTAGCAAATAAAGACCAATCCGATGATGGCGCTAACCCTCGACAAAACCAGCACGCGGGAGAGATTACAACCAAATGCACCGAAATATGCGGGAACTCCCCCGGTGGGAAATCATGTTCAAAAATCTGCCTAGCCAACATATACGTCACCGAACATCCAGAAACCAAAGTGAAAGCGTACGTGGTAATCGATGATCAGAGTAACAGTTCTCTAGCAAAATCCGAACTGCTCGATCGCCTAAACGTTCACGGTCAAGCAACCTCGTATTCGCTT